TAACAGAATACAGCTGATATATAACAAGCCAAGTAACACCAAAAACTCCTTGGGATTTGGCTTCCTCTGGAGGAATTCCCTGATTCCTCCAGGTAGTGACTTTGTCATAACCAGCTGAGTTCTTATGATATATTCCTGCGGCCCGCAACACAATGTGAACACTGCACAGAATTCTCTTAGTGTAGTACATCTTCTATGCTGAGTCTGGAAACCGGTGTCTTAGACATCTCCATGATGATATGCCACCTCTTGGTCAACTGTTACCTGTCTTCCACATGCAAGATGCTTCCCAGGAGCTGAAATCATAATGAAAGAGGTCACTAGCCAAAGACAGGCTGCCTTTTTTTTTTTTTTTTTTTTTTTTTTTTTTTTTTTTTTTTTTTTTTTTTTTTTTTTTTTTTTTGTACAGAGAGTTTGAAACAGCCTAGGTGCAGAGTAGTTCTGCTTCCTGGATGTGAAGTTGATTGGTGTCTAAACAAACTCCTCCCCTCAGTCACTGCCCCCTGCCCTGAAAGATGCTGTGTCAATTGCCTTAGTATAATACACTCTGATGTCCCCACTGTGATTCATAATGGACTCTTAAGCCCATGTGGCCCCATAAATCTCAACCTGGAAGACATCAATCCCACACAAGAAGTTTGAAATGACATTCCCCGGATGAGGCCACAAGCAGACAGAGGCCAGAACCCAGGCTGAAGCCCATTGTCAAGAACTCAAGCCAGACCAGGGTCAAGAACAAACAGGAAAGCCGCGTGGCAGGCCCAGAATACCACTGTGTCTTGGTAATTAGAGCCCAGCAAGGCCCCGAGAAGATGGGCTGACTCTGCTGTCCACCCATGCTGTGGAGATGGCAGCCCCATGGCCCATTTCAACAGTGGCTGTAAAACCTCTCTTTGTCAGGCACCAAGAATTTGAGACACAGGCTCATTGGCTCTTCTGCGGGACTGCTGAAGAAGGGTCTCTTACTATTCCATTATACATGTGAATAACTGAGGCTGACAGAAGATAAACCACCTGCCAGAGCCTACGAAGAAACGGCCATGGAGCCCAGAGTGGGGTTCAGGAAGGCCTGTATTCAAGGCCACAGAGGAGTCCTGGTGGAATTCTTGTCCCTGTCACGGGGAATCCTCGGGAAATGCTGCTCACATGAAAGTGTTGAGTTAAGGGTCTGTGCTGACAGAGGACATTATAAACAGTAGAAGGAGGGATCTCCAGTTCTACCTCCTTCCTCTACAAGGTCAGGAAAAGAACCCATGCTCTCACCGGATTGATATTCACGGTTTCACAGAACTGTTGCAAAGATGGAATTTCCTATGTGTCAGAGTGCTTCAGAAGCTATGACATGTGCCATGTAAGCCTTTGGTGCCGTGACTCCCCTATAAAGTGCCACTGTCCTGTCACAGTTCTGTGACTCATCGGGTAACTGAGATGGCCAAGCTGACTTTGTAAACTATTATCTCAGGGCCTCCACTTTTAAAATATAAACTGTATTATTGACATATGGCCACCTTGTAACCTTGCTTTCAACTGACCTGCTGGTCCAATTTGGTGCAGAGCCACCATGAGCTAAGGCCCGTGGGTGCCAAGAGGATGCCGAGCACAGCATATGAACAGAGTGCATTTATTATTACAGTAATTGTGGGAAGATGCCCTCTCTAGAGAGATGCCAGCATTTTACAGACACAGTTCATTCATTTTCATAAGCAGACCCAGATGGACCACCCTGGGGGACCATCTGGCCGGGTGGAGTGTGCCAAGTCAGCTTCTGAGAAATGGAAACATTTGGACTCCGTGGCATGGGAGCCTGATCTCTCACTTTGACTCTTCTCCAGCCTGGCTCTCAGACCATGGTTCCTCTGAAAAGGAAAGCAACTCTACCACCCTCAGACTTTCCTTTCTCCTTGGGGATCAGTCCATCAGCCCGCTTCAAGTCCACGGGGAAGGCTGTGAGGAAACATGACGTACCCCGGGGGCCATCCCTCAGAGCAAAATCTACGCAGTAAAAGTTCTCAGGGTGCAAGGCCTGCACGGTCAGAATTTGCATACTTAGGAATGCAAACGGTTGACTGGATTAGAAGTTGTAGGCGTTTAAGAAGTATGGCTTTGATGTACGTTGAAGTGTGGAAACCCAAATACGAGAGCAAAGGGTAGCCAGGGCTCACAGAAGGCAGAAGTGGAGGGCTACCCCTGTGGCAGCACACTTACTGAGGAGTCATTAGTTCCAGACTAGAGCCTGAGAGGCTGCACAGACTCAAGTCACTTGCCTGTTACCTCCCCATCCTCCCACCTCTCTGCCCAAGTAGCCCATGCATCTTAGGAGAAGATGGGACCACGTATCAGATTCTCTTAAGAATCAATAAGCAATAAAAGAAATGAGTTTCCCAAATGCTTTGTTCAAAGGTCTCAGGTTTGGATCTAAATCTCCATTCTTCCCTCTAAGTACAGTATCCAGGTTTCAGCTTCAGGCTGACCCCACAAGTGGCTCAGAACATCAGCCCCATCTCTCTCTCCCCACTCACATCCTACCTAGGCAAACCAAGCGGTTCCCTTAGGTGGTCTCCCCAAATGCTCCTAGAATGCCCCTACCCCCTCATTGCTGAGCAAGGAGATCTGTTCTTGATGGATAGCTCCAGGCAAGGTAATAATTACAGTGTGGTTAGAGGCAAGCCGCTGAGTTCAGTCTAGTCCAGCACCCCTCAGCATCATGATGTACCTGATTTGAGAACCTCGGGGTCAGAGACCAAGCTGGGTCTCATTTTTCCCTGTAGCCCTATGCAGCATGGAGAAGAACGCTGTCACTTTGAATTGGGACTTCCTCAGAGTGACATCAGTAGAGCCTGGATGGAGGAATACAATTGTTACCAAGCTGTGGGTGGGAAGGACGTGGTGTGATGGTGTGATTCACAGTGCTGGTCAACGTGAACAGGGATCAATCATATCCAGATCGGAGCTTGAGATGGAAGAGGGGGGAGGTAAAGAGGAACTGCCATGAAAGTAGCAGTACTGGTGGGACAGGCTGTGAGGGAGGTGAAAAGAATGGCCAGTCAGAACCCTGAAGTCTGGTGGTCCATGGGGTCTGGATCTTACTATTACCCATGCTGTGCCGAGTACTGGAGATTTGTGTCATCACACTCATTGTCACTGCACTGTGACAGTCCAGGGACCTCAACCCAGGGAATTCTGGACATTCTGGGGGGGGGGGGCGGGTTTCTTCAAAACTCAGTGAGCTGTGGAGGATCCCCTCCATGTCTCTGATGACAAGTCTAAGGACAACTATTTTCAAGTGGAGTATGGAGAGTGTGTATGTGTGTATAAACCTGTAACTTGGCTGCAAGCATCACAGGTCCCACCTACCCCAAGTTATCAACCCATCAGAAGGCAGAAGACGGGTGACTGTCAATCACACTAAGGAAATTAGCAGACCAAAGAGAAAACTTGTAGAACTCCACTTACGCAGAGCTGCAGAACCTGAGTCCATTGCTTTAAGGATTCAGAAGGGGAAGGGGTGGGCACATCTGGCTGGGACTTACACTGCTTGCTGGTCAGAATCTTTTCCACCCAGGGATCAAACAAATTCTAAGCATAGAGATACTACAAGAAATTAAGGATGTGGGCATGGCCCCTCATCTTAAACAGAGTCAAAGACTCCACCCTTAGAATGTTCTAGAAAGAGCGTTGGACTGGCAGTGTGGACACGGATCCTACTTCCCACTGTCCTTCATCACAAATCTGACCTTGGGCTGGGCTTCCTTCTCTATGAAATGACCTTGGCAGTTCCATGCTTCAGAGTTATTGTCAGGATTAAATGAAAGCATTTGTGTTGTTGAACCTTGGATTCTGGAGAGCGCTGTACAAATGAAGATCTTTATTATCCCAAGTCGTTGCTTCTCAAGGAAGACAAGTGAGGTCAGGCGAGCAGATGAAGACCATCAGGGCAAGAAATTAGGAGTGAAATGGTCCCACTGATTGGAACAAAGAGCCAGGAGTCATATTGCCTAGTGAGTGGCCAGCTCTTCGGGACTGCCTGTGGAGGTCAATCGTCCTATTGTTTCTTCCCAGTTCAGAGCTCTGACAGATGGGCACAGAAATTGCTTCCTGGTTCACCCAGTGAAAGGAATGCTGTGGACAGTTGACAGTTTACCCCTGAGCCCGTAAATCGAAACTCACCCACACTGCACTGTGCCTGGAACACATTAAATCTGGCATAAGACAGGGTAGAAAACATACTGGTGTTTAGTTTGATTTGTTAATTTAGCTGTCAATGGAAATCAGATGTGGAGGTCCACTGTGGTATGAAGTAGCAATTTGTGGCTGTCAGAAGTACCCATCTATGCCATGATTTAGAGCGCTCACTTGTCCCTGCTCTGTGATTGTTCAGGAATGTGTGGTGGCTCTGATAAGTGCTAACCACACATTGGACCCACCCCCAGGTGAGATCCACCCTTCCGGTGACCTCACTCACACCAACCTTGGTTCTGCAGGATGCTCTCAGCAGTGGATCAGAGATATGAATAGGGTGTCAATTTGTAGAAGACTCCACCCAAACGATGCCTTCCCTCATGACTTTCTTCTGAAGTCCTCATCCTGTCTGCCCATTGGGTAGATAGCAAGAAACTGGACCCAAAAGTGCTTTGAAGACTTCTGTAAATAACAACACGGAGTGAGAGCCTGATGTCTTTGGAATGTAAACTTCCATCTATGAAAAGAGACGGGAGACAAATCAGCTTTCCCCCTGCCTTTTGAGTAGTCTAACTTCACTTTTTCAGGTTACAAAAAGTTGTAATTCTCGTTATAGAGCCCATAAATCCGGAAAGGATAAGAAGGAAAATTCGACACATTCATCAGCCCCTAGCTTAGCCGTCACTGGGCTTAACAATTTAATATATTCTCTCCGGTTTTTCATGGTATATAAAAATGGGTTTTGACATGCTTTTCTGACAGTCTTGCATATGGGAATGTTGGTTTTTCACTTAGTGTCTGTTTTGCTTTGGATTTAGGTTTATTTTTCCGTGAATGGGTCGCGAATTTTTCTCCGTGTGTTTGATACAGATGTGCCGGCTCTAATGACCACCTCACTATCATTGGCCTTCTTGAGACTTTGTTTTTATTTCCTTGGTACTCTGATCCATGATGAGTAACTTTGGGTCCAAACATCTGTATCATTCTGTTTCCTCAAAGGTCACCTCCTAGCAGCTGAACTCTGACATCTGAGAGTCTGAATAAGTTTGCAAAGTTCTTCAAATGTGTTCCCGGCCTTCATTAGAAAAGCTATGTGGCTTCACATTCTCACCAGCAGCACAGATGGCCCCCACCTAATAACGCTTCATGACTGTTCAGCCCTACAAATGTGCAAAAATGAGATGGCATTCAGTGGGAACCGTACTTTGAATTTTGGATTTTGTCCTTTTTGTGGGTTACTGGTACATGATATGATATTCTCTTGTGGTGCTGGACAGTAAGCCATAGCTCCCAGTCAGCCACACCAACCATGGAGAACCCCCGGTACCCAGTGCACAGTGCTAGAATCTGTAGTGTTCAGTAGGTTGGGTACATCCGATGCAGTGTTGACGACATTGTCTCAGTCACTGTTCTATTGTTGTGAAGAGATACTATGACCAAGGCAATTCTTATTAAAAAAAGAGAGCATTTAATTGTGGACTTGCTTACAGTTTCAGATGTTTAGTCCATTGTCATCATGGCGGGGAGCATGGCAGCAGGCAGGCGTGGTGCTGGGGAAGGAGCTGAAAGCTACATCCTGATGCACATGCAGAGACCAACACTGAGCCTGGTGTGAGCTTTTGAAACTTTAAAGCCCCACCCTTAGTGGCACACTTCCTCCAACAAAGCCACACCTCCTAGTCCTTCTCAAATAGTGTCGCTCCCTGCTAACTAAGCATTCAAATATACGAGCCTACGGGGACCGTTCTTATTCAAACCACCACAGACATGTTCAATTCCTGGTGGGTTTATCAGGACATACCCCCATCATACATTGCAGCACATACATACATAGATGCATACGTCTATACATACATGCATACAGTCATACTTCACACATGCATTCGTGCATGCATCTGCATACACACATGCACTCATTCATACATACATACATAATACATGCACACATGGCTAGACATGCTGTTTTGTTGCTTTTATAGAGGTAGGTGAAGTGTTGCCAACGGTACATGTGTGAACACTCAAAGCTTCTTATCAGTGTCCAGTGTCAGAAATCAGATTTACTATAGGCACTTTAAACCTTATAATTGGTATTTTTCCCTTTTTGTTCTGGCCACTAGAAAGCACAAAGCATACATATTCTAGTTATTGTGTAGAAATCTTAGGACTGTAATATCATTCTTCTCTCACCCTGATTTACTTATTCCTGAGGTTACACTATAAGTAGTGATTGCAGGTCACCTCGAGTTCCTTGGGGGATTTTTGTCCCCTTTGGGGTTGCTTGTTTGTGGTTTTGGTTTTTGGTTTTAGATGGAAATTCCCTATGCAACTCAGGCTGGTCTTCAACTTACTATGTAGTTCAGATTGGCCTCAAATTCACAAAGACCTGTCTTCTTCAGCCTTCCAAGAGACAGAACTATAGATATATGCCACCACACTCAACTCCTCAAATCTTTTTTATAAGATGCAGAAATAATTAAGTTTTTACCTCCAAAACCTTGAGCTTTCACATTGTCATTGAAGAGAAGTAGCCTTGTCAGCATGACCAAAGAAATCTATGACATCTGAAGGAAGCCCACTCACTATAAGGATGCAGCGATGCCCACGCCCCCTGACCTCCCTGGTTATTCTGACAGGTGGCTTTCATATCCAGTTCCTCTCTATGACAAGTCACAGAGGTCTCCAATCCCAGACTGTGCTGAACTCATCCACTACCCACCTAGCCTACCCTCCCATCCCTCCCATCGGGTGGCAGGAGGCCTCCGGGCTTCAACATGACCAAGGCAGGGGACAGGATGCTTGGCTGAGATGCCCTGAGTCCAGCTCTGTTCCCAAGCATCTGCTCAAGAGGACTTACTTCGCAAAACTGACTTTTTTTTTTTTTGTTTAAGAAATGGTTTAATTTAGTCCAGGCTAGCCTCAAACTTACTATGTATCTGGCCACAACCTTTTAATCGTGCTCCTCCTGCCTGTGCCTCCTGAGAGCTAAGACTACAGGCATGTGGCACCATACCTAGCTGATACAGTACTGTGGATCGAACCTCAGACTTTGTGCATGCTAGGCACAGGCTGTACCAATTGAACTACATCCCCAGCCCAGAGCAATCTACTTTTGACCTAAGGCATCCCAGGATAGTAGATCACGCCCTAAGAATGTCTTGGATGGTTCCCTGGTCATCAACCCTGGTAGAACTTATCCTTGACCTGAGATCTACAAAAGGCAAGGAGGCTGCTTTAGGCAGTGATTGAAGGAGGCTCTGCTGCTGCTTGTTCCGGATGAGAATACAAAAAATCACATGACATCTGTGACCTGAGCCGGCCCTCTCTGGCGCCTGCTGACTCCCCTCTGGTGTCCCAAGTGCAGTAACAGAGAGCCACAAGGGGTAAACCAGCACAGATGCAGCCTTCTCTGAAAGCTGGGGCCCACTGTCACCAACAAGATGCAGGTGTGTGCTCCAAGGCGTCCAGGGAGGTATTTGGCTGCTACAAAGTTAGGTCATGAAGTAATTCTGGCTTTGTGTTTTGGTAGAGGACTCTCTATCCTGTTCTCCACTGCACTTGGGTTTTACAGTCCTATCAATAATGCATATAGGTTCCGTTTGCACACTAACCCCAGCCATTTTCCATTACGTTGACAGTTCCCATCCTACATCAGTGATCTTTCTGCACATTTCTTCTATGTCCTTCAAGGAATCAAGCGACCAATGCATACATAGCAGGCGCTCATGGACTATTTCTTCATCGCCACCATCATCATTATCCCCTCCTCCCTGTCTATCACCCCTCCTCTTCTTCATAACGTTTCTCCCTGTTCTGTACTTCTAGGGTTCAACTCTAACCTATGACTCTTGTAAAGCAACTACAAACTAAAACATGCGAGGAAATTCTGGACTTCTAACCGATGTAGACCACCTCGCCTCCTCGCAGGAGGTTCAACGCCTTTCTCCCACACTCTGGACTGTGTAAATCAAACTAAAGAGAACCAAAGTTCCTCTCCTGTCCTCTGAGAAGCCCTTGTGCCACAGACTGGAAGGATGACCTCTCTGCTCCCCACTGCTAGACCAGGGGCCACCGGCGTGTTTTGTGTCTGGAAGGAGCTCTTTCTGGCTGCCTCCCAGACCCTTGATGCTTTACTATAAATTAGTCATCTGCTTCACTCTCTGTGTGCGACGCGGCACACAACAGCTTGCCTGCTGCCGCCTTATCAGTCCCCCAGATCTACAAGGTGTAAGTGTGCAGCTGTCTTCCTGCGGGGAGTTAATAGTTCCAAGTACGGTCTTTTTAAAGGTTGCACACAGTGCAAGGCACCCTCTGCTTGGTCTGCATTCCATATAGACAAACCCCAGCTTCCCCACACATAGTCATGGGAATTGGGGGTCCGTTGAAGTCTTCATCTGCAAAATGCCTTTCCCCTGAACTATCTTGCTCTAAATTGTGAACGAGGCACAAATTCCTTCCAAGCCTGTAGCACAAAGTATTTCTTTTCCACTTACAGCGGTTTCCACTTACGCTTTCAACAAACATTTATCACACTTCCACAGTCTATCAGACAGTAGTCTAGGCTCTGGGTATTCAGTACCGGAAATCCAGTAAGGACTCTCTCCATCCCTTGAATGCTAACTGAAGAGAAAGACCTAAACCAAGCTAATAAAGAAAGTGGATATTGCCTGAAGCAGGCAGCAAGGAGGAACAGCGTAGAGAAGAGTGAGAAGTGAGTCTAATGTGGGATAAGGCAAAGGTTTGAGATAAAAAAAAAAAAAAAATCTCAGGGAAAGCTCGTACCTGGAAGTTAACAGGTCTTGGGAGAGACGAGGGAGCAGGATCTCTGGTCGCCGTGAATTTGTTGTATGAATCTCAGGTGGCTTGTACTACAAATAAAATGCAGCTATTCACTGCCAACGAGGTGGTTTCCAAAGCACTTGTTCATAATCGTCTCATTTGACCCTGTTACTATTTAATCTAGAATGTTCCCCCACAGGCGCAGACTTTGGGCGCTCAGCTGGTGGCTCTTTGGGGAAACTATAGAGCATGTAGCTTAGCTAGCAGAGGAAGCTGAGTGGCCTTGAAGGCCATCTCCATTTCCAGTTACAAGCTGAGTTCCCTGATCCCTGGCCCACGCGGTATGAGGGACCGCTGCCTCAGTCTCCCAATGTTCCACACATGGCCTCCAGGTTCTATATAATCCATCCACGAGGGAATGTACCCTCAGAATCTCTGGGCCAAAATCAGTGCCTTCTCCCTGAGGCTGATAGGTGTTTTGTCACAGTAATGAGAAAAGAAACTAGTACATCCTGCCCCCCAACAACCTCTGATAGTGATGAAATTTTTGTGTGGCTGAGTGGGGGAGGGGAACCAACATCCGTGAAATCTGATATTCCAGTTCCTCTTTTACTCACTGTGCCTGGGCTTCATCTTAGTAGCTATGGATTCTCTCAAAACATTCTCGTTGGACTGTTCTAGAATCCTGTTCTAGAATCCCATAGCCTCACGCTCTAGCCTACCCCTTTCAAGGACTCACGAAAACGACCAGCTTGCTTGCCTGGGTCTCTCTTTCTTTCACCAGTCTGGTTAGCTTTTTATTTGTTTGGGTTTTTGTTGTTGTTGTTGTTGTTCGTTTGTTGTTGTTTTGTTGTGACTGGTTGTTTTGAGACAGTGTTGTGATAGCTCAAGCTGTTTCAAGCACATGGTCCCCCTGCCTCTGACTCCTAAGTTACGGGATTACAACTATTCACCACCTTGAGGGCTTTCTACTCTTGCCTGTCCTGCGCATGCTCTGTGACAGTCTACTGGCTGGAAGTCCACTGTCCACTCTGTGTATGCCTGTGCCTGCTACAATGGCCTTTCCTACTCTGGTTCATCTAGAAAGTTGGTTAAGATCTTGGGCTTCCCAGTGAGGCAGACATAAAACCCTAAAACTGCCAATTTGCTGTGACCTTGAAAATGACCTCATAAATCCTTCTTTGGAGGCCAGTTTTCACCTCAGTAAAAGCAGATAATAACCGGATACTGTAGAGTGTACATCTGTAATCCTAGCCCTCTGGAGATGGGGACAGTGGAATTGTGGGCTTTAATAGCAAGACCTTGTCAAAAAATAATAAAAATAAAAAGACAGGAAATAATATTTCATATATTTTCTATAAGGTCTAAATAAAATTAGTTAGGTACAGATATAGATGATATAGGTAGATAAAGGTAGAGAGGTACAGATATGGATGATATAGACAGATAGAGGTAGAGAGAGCACTTTTCATATGGATCTAGAACATTGTATGTGCACTCAGCACTTGGTGAGGGTGTGGCTATGGTTAGCATGACTGGTATATGATCAACATCCAATGGCCTTCCTATCCTTCAGCCAGCAGCTACCCTTTCTGCCATGGCTAACATAGATGGAACCATTGGAGGTGTGATGACCTTCCTTCTAGCTTCAAGAGGGCTGAGTCCATCCATTTCCTAACTGGAGGTGCCCGGGGACCGCCACCCATGGCCAGGTGCTACTGTCTTTATTCCTTCAGTCTGAATGATCCCTCTCCCATCCCAAGCAGACTTCTCTACTACATAGTCTGAAGCCCGGTCCCTGCAGCGATCTCACCTGTAGCTATAATTTATTTGTGATTAGTATCAATTCTCCAAAGTCCAACTTTGGAATTGTTCATTGTTTACCGAGCAAACAAGAGAAGAAAATGACGTATTTTATGGGGCGCTGGGGCGCAGAAGAGTTAAATATCACCACGTTTCAGGGAGATTAATGGTGAAGTGTTCACTGAGGTCATTTATAATATTAAAAATAAAATTATCGGTGTGTCTTTTCAGAAAAAGCAATGAAGATAAATGTCAACTAGGGAAAGCTCGGGGAAAAAAAAGACTATGTAACAAAATGAAGGGGCTATTGGAGGCTGCGAAGGAATAAGACATTTTTAATTTCTTCAGAGAGCTCAGCCGTGGAAAATGAAGCCCGTTCTGCCTTCTGATGGCCTTCAGGAATGTCTGTGAGTCTCAGGAAAGTCACAGGGAGAAGGGATTTGAAACAGAGCCTCGGGGTCCTTCCATGTCAGCTGGCATTGCAGTCTTCAGCCTAATACCATCCCTCTCATGCTGCCATCTTCCTCACCGCCACCTCCAAGCACCAATCCTGTCGAGGGCACCTCCAGCATGTCACTCATGTCCACTCATGCCTCTTCAGCTCTCTCATCATCAACCTCACCCGAGCCGTCTTCATGACTTGCGTGGCCGGGCACCGAGGCAGCTGCCCAGCTGGCTTTTCACACTTCCATTCACTCTCCGGCTCAATCTCTCCAAATCAGTCAGAGTGAACTTTATTAAGACTTCCCAGCTGGCCTGGCGAGATGGCTCAGCAGTTAAGAACACTTGCTGCTCTTGTAGAGGACGCAGGTCTGTTTCCCAACACCCACATCTCTGGTGCCAGGGGATCCAACGCCCTCTTCTGGCCTCTACAAACCTGGGTGCACATGGTGCATATACAGACAGACAGACAGACAGACACACACACACACACACAGACACACACACACACACACACACACACACAATTGAAAATTAATTACAATTTTTAAAATGACTTCCTGAAGTTCTTGATTTTGAAGTCTGCTGTTTAAACTCCTTACATAAGATCCACATCCCTATATCCCCAGTTTTCAGGTTCCTGTCTGACTATGCCTCTCCCTTCTCCTACACACAGCTCTGGTGACCCTCTGTGACCATTCTGGACCGTAATGGCATTTGCTCTGTTTCTAGATCGTGACATCCTTTCTACCCTGGCTCCTCCACAGCCATTTTCCTTGGCTGGTCCTCTCTCGCCATTCAATACCAGCTCCCATATCTGTGCCCACAATCTCAAACTAGGTCTCTAAGTCTCTCTTTACTGCTCTCACCCAGTTCCAGACTTATGGAAAAATTCTAAAAACTGTCCTCTAGGAAACCAAGCACTGAACTGGATGGCAAGGAGAGAGAAGAGTGAGAACAGAACTTTCCCTTGGGTGTAACTCAAAGGAATGAGAAACTCCCAACACGAGTCAAGGAAACCCTTCCTCATGGCATTCTTCTGCCTGAACTTGCTGATCTAGCTTACCCTCCCTTGACACCAAATCACTAGTACTTAGGACATGTCAGGCACTCTCCAGGAGGTACTGTGGGTAAGCCAAACCCTCCCGCCTAGATGGAGAAACATGCCTAGACGGAGACACGTTCTTCAGGGAGAAGAATGAGCAAGGGGATGGAGCAAGTGGCATCTGAGGTGGGAATAATTGTTCACACTGAGCAGTTCTAGACAGTCAAAACAGGTCACGCAACCACGATAAGAAGCCGCTAATCTTGATACCCAGTCGGACTCAAAGAGACACGTGGAAGTGGAGCCTGGAATTCCGGGTACATGTAGCAGAGACTATGATGAGATTGGGCCTTGAAGAAGCAGGCTTCAGAAAGCTGACTCTGAGGTGACTCCAGAGGCAAATAGAGTTGAGAATTCATCATCGTGAATGTGATTTTTTTCATAACTATTATTTGTGCTGGAAATTACCTTGGGTTTGTTCCCATCATTACTTTTGCTCTAAGGACCCAGCTCTGTCAAGCCTCAACTCTACCATGTGATGTGAAGGATGCCCAAAGCTTCCTCCAGTCCCTGAGAACTGGTCCTGCCCAACCAACCATACTTGATGACTAATTCTCTAAACTCCATGCATCTACAGTTAGCTCAGAATAAGAACCCACACTGTTTTATTTATTGGTCTATAGACATATGACCTTTACAGAAACCTGTGCATTAGACTTTCCTGAGGGAAACCTATGAGTTGAGTTTGTATTCATCCCACTAACTAGAAGAGGACTGGAACCTGAAAATCATTTCCTCTGCTCCTTAAGGGATCTTACCAACACAAACTAAACAGAATTAAGTCTTGGGCCTGCTGGAGTCCTTACAGGAATGTAGTCTGGGTTCTAAAGAAACTCCTGGACATGGAGGAACTCAACACAGTGAGAGCAGGGGTCAATGGGTGGTAGTTAGGGCTTAGGATTGCCCTAAGAGGAGGAGAAACTAGAGGATCATTTATCCAATGTGAGAAGGCCTCTGATTTGGGTGCACCCAAAGTCTTGTGGAACATGCTAGTCCATGGCCTCTTCTAGACATCCTTCTTCTGACTGCCTTCAGTGAGCCCCAAAAGAAGCTCCATCACTGTGTGATTGTAAGTGATTCTAAGGTCAACAAGTACAATAGCCCTAGTCCCTGGAGTTGCCTGGCTTGAGAGAGTGTTAGAGCTGGGAAGCTCCAGCCAAGATCAAAAGGACTTATCTGTGGTCTCAGAGGCCTGGAGACACTGTGAGGCTTCTGTCTAGCTCTCCTACTCTGTAGAAGAGTGCTTTCTCTCCCAGCCCACAGGCAGCCACCTGTGACTGGGCCTCTCCTTTAGCATAGGAACCAAGATGCCAGGTCCTTAATGAGGTTGTCCACACTAGAATTTATGAGGCTCAAAGCCTTCAGAAGGACTGGTTTCTGCCAACCTTAATTTACACAGTTCACAAGCTTTCCAACACCCCCATTAAAGTCAGCAAGGATGCTGCTCCTGTTGGCCTGTACACATGATTTGACTCCATCCTCGTCATGTCACCATTCATTTTCATGTCTCTTGGCTTGTTTAGCCCTAAGCACCTGGCTCTCCTGTCCCTGGGAAATATTTAGTTTCTACCAGGCAGGTGGGAGCCAAGCCCAGCCCTGGACTCCAGCTCTAGCCCAGGCCTTCCTGCAAATCCTCTATATTAAAAGCTCGTCCACACATCATCTCCAATGTGATTTAAGAGCAAGACCCCTTCTCACCCAAGCAGCTCTCAGTCCCCACCCCTGTAATGGGTGCCATCAGTTCAGCAAGAGCGAGCCGGTAGGAGATGGCCAGAAAACTAAGACACGTGTGCCTTTTTGAAATGCCACATAAATCCCCTTAATTAAAAATTAATTAAGAGCCCTAAAATTTGACACTCATTTAAAAAAGAAATTTGAGTTAGAGAGTTGTGTAGATTTCATAGCATCTAATCTCTAGGACACAAATGAAGGAGGGGGAGTGTGTGTGTGTGTGTGTGTGTGTGTGTGTGTGTGTGTGTGTGTGTACGCGCGCGCGCGTGCTTCTGTTTCAAATGCAGTCAGGGGAGGATTCATTCCCATCGAGTGAACCCAATAAGTCACCCACAGTGTAGAACAGCGATTCATGGAACTTGACCTGGACCACACGTGTTGCTGATGCAAATCTAAACTAATTTCTGCAGCATCCACTGAGAAGATAAATAGACAAACAAATGTGCCATGCTGTTTCAGAAGAGATGTTCCAAGATGCAAATGATGGATGACTGGGACAGGAAATGCCAATGTGAGGCCATCTTGCTGGGTGAGCAGCTTAGCAGAAGGCTTCAAGGGAGAGCCATCGACAATGGTGGGCATTAATCAAGTTGGCACTAATGATAGCAAATCCATCTCATCAACATGTAGCCATCAGCGCCATTGCTTAGAACCCAGTCAGGAGATCGTGGACAGAAAGAGGCTTTGAGAGAAGACTTGAGGTCAACACTCTAGTGTGCCAGAGGACAGTGGTAGCATAGAGACAAAGGACCTATCCAAGATTCACAGATATTAACCTTCAGATTCCTCCGGGCCTCCAAGGTCATGCCACTCAACTGTGTGCCCCTGGAAACATCCAGGGGTCTTTGAGCAGTGCCAGTGCCAAGGACATCTTCTCCAGAGATACTGATGGCATTGGCCCTGGTGACGCATGAACACCAATGCTGTTTTGTACCTGCCTGACAACTGACTCCCGTGGACATCAGGGCACTGCTTCTGGCAGATGATCTGTCATGAGTCATAGGACAAGATGTTACTAGAGGACCATCTGGCCAAGTTCTGGGTCCTTATCTTTGGGCTACTAGCTGTGAATCTCAGGCAAAACACCCCAGTAAGCAACTAGCCACATGTTTTACTGTTTAAAAAGCAACAAGCATTGCCCGGGCTCTAAAATCCCTGGTTCTTCTGATTAATCAAGTGGGGATAATAACTGTTCGACCAGGTTTTTATGAGCTTCAGACAAAGCAGGCTCAAGGAAGCACATTGCAGGCTATTAAAATGCTCCGCAAAACTAAGGAGTGGCGGGGATTTAATATATCCAGTGACTCACATTGTTGGTCTGGGGGGAAGTGCTGTTTCCAGGACTAATAAGTAAGTTTCCATAGTGATGACCATTATTAATGAAAGATCCCTGAGCACCAGTCCTCCCACAAGTGATCTGGGGAACCTGGGGTGCTGCAGTCATACTTGGAAATGACCAGCCCCCATGATAAACCTGCAGAGAATAGGCCACTCTCTGGTGCCCAAGCCTTTCCCCTTCCCCATTTCTCTGGAGACAGGCTACAACCACTCAGCGTCTCAGGGTAGCCTGCTCCTGGGGTAGAACAATGCTTGTCCAACCACAGAGAAGATGCTGTTAGGAATCGTGGGCTCTTGTTTGAAACCATTCACCAAGGGTATTTTCCTCCTAGGAATTTATGGCCCCCATAAAAAAAGAACTTAAGGAAACAGAGCACTTGTTTTCGGTTCTGCCTCATTAGTTCTGAGTTGGGGCTGGCAGGAGAGATCAGAGTACCAGGAGCCCATCTAATTGAGTCTCTGGTAAGCATAAAGCTTGCTCCATCCAGAGGAGACTCTACCAAGGAACCTGGGTGTCTCCAGGAGAGGAGGGGAGGTACCAGAGGAAGCAGAGATGAAAGAGCCAGTTTCTTTGAGTTACTGCTGAGCCTGAACCCAGAAAGAGGTTCCAGGAATGAAATTCCATAGATCCCAGGCATCCAGAGAGTGAAATTGGCACTCTCCTCCACTCCTACACCCCTCTTTGTCAAGGCTTGTGGGTAAAGGGCAAGCTTGCCAACTTCCTGCCCTTCTATGCTCACTATCAGTATTGGGCACATCCATCACTTGGATGACCCCTTAGACAGACAGCACAAAAGAGAGAGAACATAGCTGGGTGGCGGTGGTGCACGCCTTTAATCCCAGCACTCCGGGAGGCAGAGCCAGGTGGTGGATCTCTGTGAGTTCGAGGCCAACCTGGTCCACAGAGAACTACACAGAGAAACCCTGTCTCAAAAAAGCAAGGGGGGGGGGCATGGTATTGGGAGGGGAAGGACACACAATGTGGAAAGGCACAGATTTCCCCCAATCCTTCAGCAAACCAGTAACCCACTGTGGAACTCTGTATTCTCAACAGTAAATCAAATTTAATAACACCTTCCTCCACTGATACACTGGGGACCAGTTCAATCCCCAGTCACCATAGGGATGGAGAGGACTATATTACCAGGCACTGTTGCAGATGCATAAGACTCCATACCTCCCTTCAAGTCAGAAGTGGTTTGCTGAAGAAGACAAACAGCTAGTGATACTATGAGGCAGAACCTCCACCATGCTGCATGCAAGAAGAAATGTGTTGAGAGGCCCAAGCAAAAGGAATATTCAAGGAGAAAAGGGGGAAATCCATGAAAATGAGTGAGGAACAGGGTCACATACCCACTGTTGAGAGGTAAAGGCTGGTGGAAGATATCCCCAAGAACAGGCCAACCGCCGGACAATAAAGGGTGACCCACATGTGCCTATCAGTCCCACAGGAAACAAATTCTTTAAGCATCAGAGAAAGAGAGTAGAAGGGAGGGAGGGGAAGAAGAGAAAGAGGAAGGATAAGGAAGAGGAGGAGAAGAAACGATGAAGGAAATGTAGACACATCCACCATTACCCTGGAGCTCTAGATACCCGTATACCAAAATAGACTAGGAAAAGAATGAAAATGGATACTACATGTGTAAATGTAATGCATGCAAGCCTGTATTAGGTGATCTCACGAAAATCAGTCATCTTGGACGAAGGAGTGAGGTGGGTTGAGTACGTGCCTAACAATTCTGACACCGTGAGTTTGGTACCAACCCTGAAAATAATAAAAAAAAACAAGAACTTAAAAGCTGAGAACACACGAAAACCTCCTTCTCCGAAAAATTCCAAGTAAACAAAGTCTTTAATTTAAAATACAAATTCTGATAATACTCGGGGTGGACCAGGATGTGGAATGAAGGGCGTGCCTGTATGAACACAGCTGGTGAAGAGTGTAAATTGGATTCACTTCTAGAAAGCAATTTGGCAACGTGTATCAAGAGCTTTTAAAATGTTTATACCTTTTGATTCAGTAATTCCACTTCTGGGAATCTATCCTATGAAAATAATCGGAAACGCAGGCAAAGGTTTATGCACAAAGATATTCTTCAAAGTGTTATTATAAACAGACTAGCAGCCCAATCGTTGAATAATGTTGAAATAAATGATGGCCGGTATCACACTGGATTGTAGCTATTAAAATGAATTCGTAGGGGAAATGTTTAAAGCCCTTGGAAAAGTTTGTGATGGCACCATCATTATTTTAGGACCTGTCCAGGTATCACAGGATGATAAGCACTTTGTAAATCACAGAAAGAACTCAAGATAAATTAGCCAAGCCATTTTACAAAAGGGGGAGAGAGCACCTCTGGGTGGTGGGGTTCTGTGGGTGCTCTGATGTTTGCTTTTACCTTGCTTTCAACTTTAGACAACAGACTTGCATTTTAAATAAATGAAAGGCAGAAGAAACAATAAGATACATCGGATAGGAGAAACACTCCTGTGCCCTTAAAGACGCACAATGCGATGCACAATATGCATAAAACACGGCATAGCTTTAAATATCCCACAAGTTGAGGGAGGCTTTAAAATGTCCTTTAGTTTTCTTGTGTTGTCTGTGGCAGGCTGGAGGGAGAGCAATCTGTCCAATGATTAAGTATCTCCCATGATAAAACCCAAGGAAAACGCTTTGAAAATGAAGTCACCAAGCACATGAAGAGCCCTTTGTTATCATTCTAAATGTCCATCTTCTATGCAGCTCACAGCTAGAAATCTAAACAGCAGCGTGCTGGCTCTGGCTCCTCTTGAGCTGTACAGTATCATGGCCAGCGTATAAATGTGTTTCTGTCTGATCTCTTTGCCTTTTTTTTTTTTAAATGAAGCCAGTAGGATCCAATCACAGGGGACTCCACCCTAATGTGATAATCTAGTCCCTCCTCAAATGCCTATCTCTAAGTGTCTAAACATAGTGGGATGGAATTTCCACCCTCTTGGCACCATCCACACATAATTTTGAGGGCTTAATACTTGCCCCAGGATTTGAAAATGGGATAGAAACCTCAAAGGAGGGAAGAGAGGCCTAGAGGTATCACCGGGCTCCCCATTTCCTCCCACACGTTATCAATGATGAAGCAGTCCCATCCTGTTTGTCACGAGGTCAGAAAGCAGATGAGTATTGGGACCCACACACCATGCATTCCTGGGGCACAGTTCTCAGCACCCCTTCTTAGCTCCCACAGTCCTCTCCTCTGCTCTGTGGCATTGGAGAGAGAGACTGGACCTTCCCTGAGACCAGAATTGAGGAAGCATGTCTCTCCTTTCTACTAAGACCCTGTCAGCATACAAACAAAAAACCATGGTCCTCAAATGAATAACAGAGTTTATTCTGGAGCCAAATAGGGTGACCATGGCCTGGGAACACAAATTTAGTTACCCCCAAACTCCACGCTCTTACACAGGAGTGGTTTCTTTTTTTTTTTTTTTGATAATGATAAAACAAAGAAAATCATAAATCAAGAGACATTTCAAATCCATTAGTGGAAGCACCATAGTTCACAACAAGAGGAGGAACTCTTTCTGCTATTGACCTCGAATGTTATCTGATGACATTCTTAGCCTGTGGATTGATGGAGAGAGAGGCATTGGTTTGTTTATTCCAACAGGACTTACCTAATTGTCACAAAGATGTTAGGTCATACACAAGGGTAGGCAATAAATGGGGCTAAGGGGCTAAGGTAGCCCGAGAAACTTTGGTTCTGGACCTGCAACATTGCAACTCTCCAAATCATTGACCATCTAGTCAGAAGGAATGTCTAACACAGGTGTGGCTTTTTAATTTTTTTTTAATCTGGAATTTAAGTTAAAAACATGATTGAAAAGTGGGAAGTGGGTGTACAGAATCAAATCCTCAAAATGAACTCGACGCCTTACCTTTTCACAAGAGCATTGACTCTCTGGTGTGCTTTTGATTTTTGTTTCATCCTGGGTTTTCATTTGAGCGTGTTTGGAACTGGCAGGGTGTGGGAAGAAGGGCAAGCCAAAATATATGCTGTGCTTAGGAACCCTAGAGCCATTGGAAGAAACTTTGCCTTATGCTGTCCAGGGCACAGTTATAGGTGGATGACATCCTTCCCTCTCGGTGAGGTGGAGAGGGGAAAAGATGACCAGACCTGGGAACTTCTAAGCACTCATCCCAGAAGCAATTTAAAGAGCTGGGACATCCATCTACAGCCGAGCTGGGCTTCAGCTCTGATCCCTGCTAGAGCTGGTTTTAGACCGTGTATTAATTTCTTGTCCCTGCTGTAAAGAACTACCAGAAGCTTTGTTCTGGGTTCAAAAGACACAAATTTATTCTCTCACTGCTCCGGAGCGCCAAGGCCTGAAATCACTTTCATTGGATAGGTGCAAAGCAGTCTGAAATCGAGGCTTCCCTGGGAAGTTTCTAGAAGCATGCTATTGGGCGGGGCTGTTTCCTCAGGGGAACCTATTCCCTGCCTCTTCAAGCTTCTGTGGGACCTTTGTGGTCTTTGGATCATAATCTTCTCTCCCGTTCTGAAATTCATGCTTCTCTTGTTAAGTTTGAGGGGTTTGAGGAACCCAGTGAGAGACAGACAGACAGACAGACAGACTCAGATCGATCTTTAAGGAAGAGTTTATTATTGATAGAGCAGCGGGAAGGGCAGAGTTCATCCTTTTAAGGTCGCTTATGAGAGAGTAGGGAGTGGAGAGAAAGTGTTGTGCCAGCGGGAAATGGGCCCAGGGTCAGCTAACATCACCTAACTGGCCTTAGTTGAGGCAGGTATTTGAGAAGTCCCAAGGCAACTCCTGGATGAGGGGTCTTTGGAAGAACAATGGGCTAGTTAGCACCAGTTCTGGCTAGTTAGCACCAGTTCTGACTAGTTAGCACCAGTTCTGCCTGTAGCCCCAGTGCATTTCAGGGGTTGC